TTGCTCTGCCCTTAATGCCATCTTTCAAAGTGTATTTACTGTTTCTCCTTTGACTGATTCTAGTTCACACTTTTGTAATACTGTCTTTTCGTCCTGGAGTGATGATATCTCTCAAATTGACGTTTCTCAGGATTTTATACTAACATGTCTGATAAACTTGGACACCTATAAGGGAGCGGGTTACGATGGAGTACCTCCAGTTTTTCTGTCAGCCTGCGCAGAGAGCCTTAGTTATCGAATTACGTTGCTCTTTAAGCTTTCCCTCAGAGAATGTGTGTTTCCCACACTTTGGAAAAAGGCATATATAATACCGGTTCATAAAAAAGGTTCTAAAACAAAAATTGATAATTACCGTCCAATTTCTATTCTCAGTACAATTGCTAAAATATTTGAGCGACTTATTTTTAATAAAATTTATGCTACAATAGTTAGACACATCCCGAGTACGCAACATGGTTTTCTGAAAAAGCGTTCTATTTCCAATCTTGCAAATTTCACTAATTACGTTCTTCATGAAATGAAAGGAGGAGGTCAAGTTGACGACTTTGAAAAAGCCTACGACTGTGTGGATCACGTCATACTTCTTCCGAAGCTTCAGTCCCTCGGCATTCATGGGGACTTACTGAGATGGATTAGATCTTATTTGACTAACCGCTCTCAAGCTGTGGTTCTAGGCGGTTATAGGTCAGATTTCTTAACGGTTCCCTCTGGTGTTCCCCAAGGCTCCCACCTTGGTTTTCTCTTTTACAACGCCTATATTTATGATATATGTCAATATATAAAAAATTCTCAACATTTACTTTATGCTGATGATAAAAAAATATATCTGCGAGTACGCACTATCAAGGACTGTGAACTAATTCAAAATGACTTAAATATATTATACCATTACTATGTCGCTAATAAATTCACGGTAAATGTTGGTAAGTGTCAGTGTATTTCTTTTACGCGGAAAAATAATCCCATAGTTTTTTCATACAATTTCAATGGTGTCAAATCGAGAGGACTACGATGGTGCGCGATCTTGGCGTAAATTTTGACTGCCGTATGTCAATGAATGAGCATATTGATGCTATTTGCAGTAAAGCGTTTCGTAATTTGGGATTTGTAGCTAGAACTTGTCTTCCTTTCTCTAATTCTCAAAGCCTAAAAGTAATGATTTCTTATATTTACGCGAACACTACACATTGAAATAATACTAGTTTTTACGGAATTTATCGCGTATATTTAACTTTTTAAATACCCGACGTTTCGAACGCTTTACAGCACTCATGGTCACGGGCGGGACTGAGATGTTCAACGTCCATATGTCATAGTTAACCGCGGTTACCATAGATTAAAATTTAACTTTTGTTCCGATCTATGCAGTATGAACTTATGGTATCTTGAAGTCTTGCAGTTGTATGCTTGGGTTGGGATTTAATTTTATTTATTATAGGATCCCAAGCAGATGGTAACACCCAGCCATCTTCTCTATTGAAATTAGGATGTTTTTTGACTTCAATAGCCTCGCGAATCATCCTTGGAAGGAATCGGTATTCTTTAGCGAGGATTTGCGGTCTATCAAATCTGATGTAGTGACGGGGGCGATCCTGTACGTGTTCACAGACTGCAGACTCTCTCAGAAGCCTAAAAGTAGTATATTTCGCATATGTAAGATCTATATTAGAGTACGCCTCTCAGATATGGTCGCCATTTTATGCTAAATATGTTCATAAAATCGAAAGGATTCAAAATAAGTTCGTTTCCCATTTAAATTTTAAATTTAGACGTTCTGGCTCTTCATATCGAGACGATTGCAGATTTTATGGTTTGTTAATGCTTGAAGAAAGACGTATTCTGCTGGATATGGGGCTTTTATTCGATATATTACATGGAGGAATTGACTGCCCTGACTTATTGGCTTTCATTAAATTTAATGTCCCGTTGTAACGTACCAGACATACCAGAAACTCTTTGTTTTACATCCCCTTTCACCCGACTAATTATGGGAAAAACAATGTTCTAACGCGTTTAGTAGCAACTTACGACAAAAAATTTAGCGCAATTGATCCTTTTAATAATAATAAAAGTGGATTTAAAAGTAAAATTAACAAGTTTTTATTCTATCCAGCTGAAGGTAATCAGTAAATTGTAATTAAAATAGTACTCGAATTAATATTTGTGCCCTCGTTTAATATTGTTATTATGTATGTACATGTGTGTATGTATGTATGTGTGTATGTATGTATTTATGTATATATATGTAATATGTATGTGTATGTATGTAAGTATATATATGTGTGTGTATCTGTGTATGTATGTATATATTAGTGTCTCTTTTTAATTTTTTATCTATTTTCCATAATAACAATAACACCAAAATATATTTGCATTTATAGATTCATATGTGCGTGTTTGGTAGTGTAATTATTTACGTCTTTTGTACGTATATACAGCTGTATTTGTATATATATATATGTACGTCATGAAGGTAATATTAATACTTCAATTAACTTGTTACCGTTTAGTAATAGTTCTTACCGATTTTATTTTGTATTGTATTAGTTTTACAGTGTTATGTTTGGTTACCTACTATGGGGATAACTATAATTAGCTTTTTCATGTTTAATAATTTAAGTTATATTGTTTAAGTATTAAAAAGCTGTTGTTATCCTGAATAAATAAATAAATAAAGACTTTACGGGGAGTGCTTTGCTACTCCACGAAATATACAATTGCCGTCGGCAATGAAGTTCCAACGACTTCACATTCGTATGTACAATACTGGCAGTGTGCATGGCCGTGATCAACAACGTACAGATTCAGGAAGACCGAGGATGTACGACGACGACATCGAGGAGCACATTCTCGACATGTTTGAGGAAGATGCGACGCGGAGCACGCGCTCGGTGGCACGTGAAATAGGTGTGAACCATATGCGCGTTTGGAGAGCTCTCAAAGATGATGGCCAGCACCCATATCATTATCGTCGAGTTCAGTGTCTTCTTTCTAACGACTACGAGCCGAGAATGGATTACTGTAGATAGTTACTTGATAAGGTTGAAGGAGATTCTGAGTTTTTGAACCGCGTACTTTTTACGGATGAATGCTCTTTTGTAAAAACAGGTGTATTTAATGCTCATAATGAACACGTATGGTCAACGACAAATCCGCATTCGTACAAACCAAGCCACTTTCAACACCGATGGAAAATCAATGTGTGGGCGGGAATTATAGGTGACAAAATTATTGGTCCGTATTTCCTAGACCACACAATGAGCGATGAAAACTACGGACGTTTTTTGCGAGAAGAACTAAGCAATGAACTTGATAAATTTAGACCTCCTTCGTCACATGTGGTTTCAACACGATGGTGCTCCCCCGCATTTCTCCCGTTATGTAAGAAGTTTTTTGGATACTGAGTTCGGTGAAAGATGGATTGGCCGCGGTGGACCGGTCAACAGGCCGGCACGATCACCTGATCTCACACCGTTAGATTTTTATCTCTGGGGTACGATTAAGCAGACTGTATTCCAAAAAACATGTGATACCGAGGCAGAAATGCGTATGTGTATAGTCGCAGCCTTTGAAAAAATAAAGTCCGAAATGTCTGTTATGCAACGCGTGCGTTCAGACATTATAAGTCGGTGTCATAAATGTATAGAGGTGGACATATTGAACAATATCTTCGTGGTCGTCAAGTAGACATAGTGATAAATTAGTGTTTGACTATAACAGCTGTGATGTGACGAGGTCACGACCTCAGTGTGCAGTTAGTGTAGGTAAGACGCGCGCGCGCGCGCCCTGTCTTTGATGTACGTCACCGCCGGCCGCCGCCCGCCGCCCCCCATTCTCGATAATTCCAGGCAGAGGTAATCAATCCACGAAAAATTTACAAATATTATTTAATTAAAATTTAATTTGACTATTTTTATGTCGAGTTTTCTGAAGTAAAGTTATTTCTATACGTTTGAATACTGATTCTGATAACGCACTTAACGGGAACCACAGGGTTTTTGTTACATATTGTATATAAATTTAGGTTAATTACTTGAATAATTTACGTACAACAATACAAAGTTCACCCACCAGCAGTACTTATGATACAAAAATAATAATCGTTTATTAACACTTATATATCAATGGAATACAGCAAATTTACCTACTTAAACTTCTACTAATACTTATGCCGACAAACCAGCAACACAAAAATATGACTAATATTTAATTAATAAAGTTGAACTAAAAATGTAAAAAATAAATCATGACTGGCAACTATGTACATCAAAGTTCAAACTAAAAGTACTCTGTGGTTCATCAGACGGAATGTTTAAAGACAGCTAGAACCCAGAGCCGTAAAGGCAGTTTAAAAAAATAAAATAAAAATAAAGTTAAAAGACATGTCTATGCTAAGGTACCATAATATGTGCTCGCTCTATGCATATGGGTGTGACATAGATTTATTGTGATCTGACAGACGGTAACAAATAAAAACAATTCAGACACTCAGACAGTTCTTCACTCCGTCAGATGTTTAAACATCAGCAATAACAAAAACAAAAGGGGTAGTAAAACATTGACGTATAACAATATCACTGCACAAAAATAATGACTGAGCGATATTTAACAAACTTAATAATAAGGTTGCAACATCAATTACTTACGGGCCGCTACGCGACTCAGAGTTCTAGTTGGCTTGGTTTTTTCAGCAGGTTTAGCACCATCTTTATTCTGCTTTGATGATGATAATGGGATGGACTGTAAATCAGGAATAGTGAACACTGAATGCCGTACACCATCTTTTGTCAAAACATAGATACAGCTTTCCCTCGTCCAGCATTTCGATACTCCGAAGCGGTTGCGAGCTGCTAGAAAAGCTTCATGCCTAACTTTTGTGAGGAACTCTGACAAGTTCACTCAGTACCTTTAAGATTTTTTTTTGAACTCCAGACCCTGTGTCGAAGATCAAGATCCTTAAACTCCACTAATAGAGGTCTGGATTTTGTCCTTAATTTTACCCAATCTGTGGCATCGGTTTATATTTTCCTGGGCTATGAACACTGATCTGCTGTAGTGACTTAATGACAGTTTCGGCAACATCTTCATTTTTATCTTCGGGTACACCATGGATCAACAAGATTCTGCGACGATTATGCATCTCCAACCGATCACAGTCCTTTGAGACTAATTGAACTTGTCGCTGCAAATTTTGGAGCGCGGATATAACAAAAGCCTTGAAATTTTCGAAGACTGTAGCTAGTGGAGGAGAAGGAACACTAACTTTGTTAAGTTCTTGTTTAAAAACTGCAAGGCTTGACTGGAACAGTACTGTCATCTCTTCCATTGACTGTTCGATAGTCTTCATGATATGAGTGTAGTTAAGTGTTGTAGTTTACGGTAAAACAAATATCAGTACCGCTGGTGAATGTCACTTAATCACCTTGTATATTTATCATTAGATTTTGCTTAAAGATATTTATTTTAAACTAAAATTAACAAGAGCACAAGAAAATAGCTGTGTATTATGCTGCGCCTACCTGCGAAAAAAAATATTTATTAGGTATTTAATCTTTAGAAGTTGAATACAATTTCATAGTACAATAGCTAACCGATTTCTATCGCCACCAAAGATGTAGATGTTAAGAAATATGTATGTTTGAGAAATAAAAAGAAAGATGCTTGCCTATATCCTCTTTTTATTTACCTGTCACCCCTTGCAACACCTACTTGATGATTATGGGATAGAAGATTATCTTATGGCACCACAACTTAATAAAAATACTGTTAATAATGAATATGAAATCAGATTGTTGGCACTACAGGAATGTAAACTAAATATAAATAAAAAAACCTACTAATGCGTGGATTAAGTTCTACATTATTTTTTTAATTTGATATAGAATTTATAGGTAACGAAAATGGCAAAATATATTAAACTGGTAAATAAATCAATATTGTTATCTTATATGGTTTTATTAATTATGTGGTTTAATATTTCCTATACAGGCATAAAGTGGCCCCTAGCTTTCTTAGAACGCTTAGCTTTTTCAATATCGACATCAGGATATTCTGCCTTTAACTTTTCTAAATCCATATTTGGAAAGCGTTTCAGTAGATGTTGAACATGATTGAAATTTCTATTGCGAGCCTTTCTTGTTTCATTATACAGTTTTTCCTTATACAACCGATAAAACTTCTTTACTGCAAGACTGTTAATGTATCCATGTTCTAAATAAGGTCTAACCCAACGGCTGTTCATAAATTGTGGTATGTGGTGCTCTTGTTTCTTGTATTTTTTAGGTAAACCAAACATATTCACAACTTCTTCAACAGGGCGTTCTCCAGTCTCTCCCGTTTCTAGCTTGTAATATGCAATATTACGTTCTCTTATTACAGTTTCGATATTGTTCATTGACTCCTGCACCTTATCAATTCTTTCAGGATTGGGAAACAGTCGCACTTTTTCGTTGCATTCATGTTCCATAGTGTAAAGCATATTTCGTTCTTTTAGTAATATATACCATAGTTTATGTAAATCAACATTGGATTTTATTCTTAATTCATCCAATCTCCAAGCTCTTCCAACCCGTATGTTCGTTTCATTCCAATTTTTCTTACTGTCGAAAAATTCCATTAAATCGCAGTTAGAACGGGTTGTATGAACGCCTTTTGTGATAACTGACGGAGCGCACATATTCGTTACATTTTTCGTACGATAACAGTAGCTAGAGGAATACTTTATTATATTTTTTATTAAAGAAAAATTCATTTTGTTTATTTTTAATTTCGATTAAAAGCTTGGAAGTACCAATATAACCTCACTTTTTATATATACTTTACTTACGATTCACCAACTAATTCCAGAAAAGGTCTTTAACCATACAGCCAAATCTAATAAGTATTTTAGTTACAAGATTTCACTTTTTGCTGATAAGGACAATACTTAATGATAGTTTATCCCATCGACTAGTTAATAAAGATAATATCTCATGACTTCAGCAGAATAAAAAGCCTGATATTTTTAATATAATCATCGAGGATTTGTTACATGGTTTCCCCTAATAAAACACGCGCAGACATTTACACAAAATCACACAACATTTATGTATAAAAATCCATTTAAGATTATTATTTTATTATGAAACTGTAGCATCAATTTACTGGTGGAAGGTTCTGGCAAAATTCTTTTGGAATTGAAAATTTCTTGAGAATCGTTGTGTTTTAAAACTTGATGTAACAAAAATTGGCACTAAAGAGAGACAAACATACACACCTATAAAATTCGCCCTACGAGAAAATGAGATAGAATACAGTACAGTGTTTTTCTGAATGTTTCACGTCTACCGTGTAGCCATTATTAAAGCCAAAAAAAGACGTCCACTAGCACTCCACTGTGCATTGCCGGCACTATATCAGTCATCTATAAAAAGATTGTTTACAGTGCTCCGTGCCAGTTAAAAGCCTATTTGCTAATTACACGCTTACATGTGAGTGTACACTCATTTACGGATAGTGGACTCCAACTCTCGCTTAAGTTGACAAGACAGATAAAGGTTAGAATCCCTTTACGTAGTTGATGAATTTTTCTTAGGCACAGAGACGACTCGTGTAAGGTACACGGTATTTAATAGGTATAAAATAAAAGTGAGATGCGGCCAATATCCTGTGGGTAAATATTATTTACGCGCCAATGTTACGTTTTATTGATAAAAAGAGGTATAATAAATAACTAATAACATTAATATTTATAGTTAGTAATAATATTTCCACATCTTGTTTTATTATACAGTCCTGTTAGAAAATTAAAAGTTATATAAATAATAAAAAGAAATCTTCATGTTGAGTACTTTTGTAATCTCGATCTTAATCGTTTTCTGAGTCAGTAGCTTGGTTAAAAGCATCGTAGTTAATGCAATAATGATTTAAAAAAAATGCCTGGAACGAAGGAAAGCTTATAGTGATGCGACTCTACGACGGTAGTGAAATTCGAGCAAAAAGTATAAGTAAGTACTCAAGTCGTTCAACATCTCGGAAGGAAATAGTGTTGTTTTGTGCATTCGATTCGATGTTAGTGTTTAGTAGGAGTTGTACCCAAATTACCGAATCACTTGAAAATTACTTGCTAGAATTATATTTATATGATATTATATAATTATTATTTTTATGATATCTGTATCCATCTGATCAGCACTGAATCATACTAAATGTGAGTTGAAGTGACATTTAACGCATAAATATAAACGGATTTTTATACAAACTATTAACATGTGACTCAAATACTAACTTAATTCAAATTATTTGACTTTATTTATAGGTTTCATTTGGTACTACAATCAGTCGTTTACTCAAGTAATTAATACAAACATAATTGTAGTTGATGAATAGTACAGTTTGCTTCAGGGAAATTGGCCATATTCATAAAGAATATAATTTGCGTTTTATTGTAAAACCATACATTCATTCTATGAATTTCACAGTTATTTTCACGGACTACGTAATTTATATAATAAACTTTGTATACTCGTGTAATAGCAAACAATAGAAAACCACGCTGTGAATTATTGTTTAACACTGCATAAAAACGTGAAATTCAAGTAAGCCGTAATAGCATAAATTTCAAATTACGTAAAAGACCTGGATTTTATCCCCACCAGCAACAATGAAGTTGTTAATAGCAATCTTAAATGCTAATTTACCCTGTGACCAGCGCTAAAGCGTTTAGAAAACCTGCATGTTTGAGGGGGAAAATTCAAAGATTGGTGAAATCATCAATACGTAATAGAGTAACTTAAGTAAGATTAATTGCTTCATAACTCTCTCAGAAATGAGAAGAGGCTTGTACCGATCTGCGGTCCGCATAGAATGTAACTGTAGGTAATTTCCTATTGTAGAACAGGGAATCACGAAAAAACACGTAAAAATATTTATTGGTTGAATAGCGGTGAGTGGACACAGTAACAAGCGTGGATTTCGAGTTAGTACCACAGAGTAGGTACAGACATTTATGGCTTCTTTCAATGATGTCTGTAGTTTGTACGAGCTTGATTCTTTTTCAGCTGGTTACAAAAAAGATGAGGTTCCCAATTCGACTATACTTTTTGTATGTATGTTAAACAATATCTTACAATATCTTATACCAATTGTGAACCTATTTTGATATTTTTAATTGATGGGGAAATAGAGGATACATGTACACTGGTGAATATAGGCCTTGCTATAGATTGCTACTGAAAACGGCCTTCATTTTGTGGGAAGGAGTACCAATATTTTGCCTTTCCTTTCCTTTCTTCAAACTTTACGGCTCGTTTCAATTTCAGCTCATTGATTCATTGGAATGTGTTGGCAATTCTTGTCCTATTTTGGATTTCTTCGTCATGGACATCCCAATCAGAGAAACTCCAAGCATGGCCTTGAGCTTTCTCATACGGCCAACTGTAAAGAGTCAATTAATTGAACTTAAAATAAAGTAAAACCGATTTCAAAAACTAAAATAAAATAATTTGCATATAATTAAATAGAATAAGAAGTCAGGGATTTAACTCTGCTATAAACTGTGACTTATTGTCGACTTTGAAAGGTTCAAATGAAGTGGAAAGTATGTGCACTTATGATTCTTTTTCTTTTAGTTCTGGTCGTCGGTTTATCTATTTTTTTAAGTTTAAATAAAGGAAACCCAAATTCACTCAACAAGCAATAGAGGTGGCCAGTCTCGTTAGTTTTTAAAGACTAAAAAAAAATTGTAATTCGTAGAATCAGGCGTTACTTTGCGGAAATCTATCATAACAATGCGTATAATACAAATGATCTTAGCAGTCAGCCGCTGTAGAGTCTACATCATCTGAAGATGCCTCGTGTAGAGGCGAAACACGTGTCGTATTATCGTCGAAGGTGTGTCTTTCGTGGAATAGTGGTGTTTGGAGTAGTGGTGTTGGGAGTATTGGTAACGGGATTAGTGCACGCAATTGAGGGAAGGCGGGAGGTGCTCTTCAATTCAGGTAAGACACATCATTGTATTTAAATTAAGCGGATGGTTGCAAATTAATATCTTTATTATAATTGTTAAAAAAATTACTGTTTTAAAAGTTTAAATAATTATCACTATGAGTCTATGAATGTACACTAGGTACGAGTTTTACAAAATCGTTCGAAACATTCGATTAATAACGGTTCGAGTCGCATTACTAGTTACTAGCTATGCTTGTGCTAATGGTAATGTGCCATTGCTATATTGCTATCATATTTTACTTGAACAGTGTTTTGATTAGAATTAATCTTTACAAAGTTATTAGGTAGTGATAGAAAACAAATTGTGGTTTTTGTGAATGTTTTATTGTGTTTAACAAGGTGTTTTAAAATGTTGTGATAAATTTTACGTGATCCTGTCGTTAAAATACATTACAAGGTACGACAACTACTGTTTGTGTTTACTACTATTTATATTTTGAAGGAATGAACCTGTGTCATGAAAATATTCCAAATTCCATAACGGAGAATCCGTATTGAACAGTTGTATGTTGTATGTCATTTTGAAACATATTATTTACCTAACATAACTAGGTATTTCAAATACAAATTACAAACAACCGGGTTATATTAACCCTGACAGAATTAAGTTTTTTATGAGATGTCCTCACTCATAACTTTTTGTTTTCTTTTTGGTTCCTATATTTTGTTTGTAAAATATTTTTATTTTATCTTATTGATTAGAGTCATATTATATTATTATTTATAATTAATGTACAATAAGGTATAAAACAGAAACACAAACAGACTACCTTTCTAATTTATTATTTTAAATGTCACATTTTTCTATTGGTTATGGGATTGGGGAGAGATTGCCCGGAGAGACAAAAAACATGAAAACTTTTATAATAAGAATTTTCTTAATATATCAAACATAGCTAACTTATGGGTATGTTCCGAAACGTTTTCAGTATACTGCCGAATACAAATGATGTCATTAATTGACACTATATTGTACTGGGGTGCCGCCGCTATAATGTGTTGGATATCCGGCCATAATAAAACAAGTTTTAATTGTGTGTGTGCTGAATGAAGCATGCCAGACTTTGTTTTTATTTATTCGAATACAAAAAAAATTAGAATTATTGCTGGTATCTCCATTAGGAGGATGTAATGATTTTTGGAGCACAAAATGACAAAATAAACGCCAACACTTTTCCAATATGGTGCAGATGTATGACGTCATATACTGTCCTATGTTTTGGAACGAATCACCAGTATAGCGACAATTTATGACGTCATTTGCATTGGACAGTACACTGGGTTCTATTTTGGAACATACCCTATATGAGTTGAGATCTTTCTTAAAATATAATTTTCTGGCTATAGCTAAAGCAGTACTTTTTGGAATGTTTTAGAATTGCTTCTGATTTTTTCATATGGGTGTTTGTTGTAAGATTTGACTCAAGTAAATGCTTGAAAAATATACAAGATTTTGTAACAAAAAAAAAGACTAACCAT